CCACTAATCCTTTGTTCTCAACCGTACTGATTCAGGCATTACAAAATCAATTTAAGCCTGGTTGGCGAACTCAACACCCTTCTGGATGTTCTTCTTAAGCTCGGGGATCACCTTCTCGAAAAGAGTCTCCTCGAAAGCGTTGAGCTTGCCGATGGGGTGGATGGTGTCGACACCCTCCTTGCCGAGAGTGACGTTGGAGGCAAAGAACTTGATGCCTTGCTCGGCAGCAACAGGGCTCTCAACAAAGCAGGGCTCCACAACGTTCTTCTCGCCGTTCAGAGCGCGAATGAGCGAATCGGTGAAGCGGGCACCAGCTTGGGCCATGGAAAGCGTGGCTGAGCCCGCGCCGTCCTTCGCCTTGACCACCTCGTCACCACCAAACTGGATGCGGTGGGTAAGAGCATCGACTTCCTCCTGCGAGAAAGACAGACCGGTCTGAGAAAGAATGGGCAGGATTGTGACACCCGAGTGGCCACCGATAACGGTCACCTTGACATCAGACGGGTCAATCGCCTTGCCCGTGGCCTGGGTCTGAGCCTCAGCAACGAAAGTGGACGCGCGAACAACATCGAGCGTGGTGACACCGAAGAGACGCTTGGGGTTGTAGACACCGGCCTTCTTGAAAACCTCCGCCACAATGGGAACCGTTGAGTTGACCGGGTTCGCAATGACCAGGAGATGAGCGTCAGGGCACACGCGAGCAGCGGCAGAAGCCAAGGATTTGACGATACCAGCGTTGGTGTTGAAGAGATCGTCACGGCTCATACCGGGCTTGCGAGGCACACCGGCCGGGATAATAACGACATCTGCACCTTTAAGAGCCGCGTCGAGCTCGTCGGGACCCTTGTAACCCTTGACCTTAGCAGGGGTGTTGATGTGGCTGAGATCAGCGGCAACGCCAGGGGTGTTCACCAAGTCATAGAGGGCCAGGTTGGAGATGGCAGGGTTCAGCTTGGTAAGGAGGGACAGGGGCTGGCCGATGCCACCAGCGGCGCCAAGAATGGCGACGTTGGTCTTCTATATGTCCTTCAGTCAGAGCGGGTGAGCTAGCCATGGTTGGATTCAAGTAATAGCTCAGTAAATCGAAACTAAGCCGTGTAGAGCGCGAGTCAAAGCAGCCATGTCGCATAACATACTACACGCCAGCTGCTTGATTCTTACGGCCGTCACGGTCAGTGCTTCAATTGGTACTTACAGCGGCCAGGAGACGAGCAGAGAAGAACATATTGAAAGTGTATTTGATTGTTGAGAAAACGCAGAGTTGGACTGATAAGTTGGAACGAAACTGGCGATGAATCAAGCTGGTGAAATGGAACAAAGATGCGCCAAGCTCATGTCCCGCGTTTTCTGGGGCCGTTGCCCAGCATACCTGAACATACTATGCTGTTATCCTCATCGGTTACGCGTCGAACTCCAACCATCCGCGTGTTCTGCGTCGAACGGTGGCATTAGTATTCTAGGATCATCCATGGCGACCACGGCGAATGGACGCTGGCCGGAAAGCGCGCGGTCCCGAAAGCGCGCGCGTTCACGGATCCTACCCGCCGCATTCGATGGGCTCACGCCTTTCCCTGTGTCCCACGTTTGCCAATGCGCCCCAACCGGCCGTCGAGTCGTCGCGACACCCCTTTTCGCTCTTTCGGTCATAGGGTTAGTTGGCGGCCTACCATCCTGCCATCCCGAGCGCTGTCCCCGCGGGCAGGCGCCGCCAGCTGTTGTCGCACGCGAACACTAGGGGTTTGAGTCGAGTTTGAGTCGAGTAGCTCCGGCCTTGATCATGCTCTAAGGGCATCCATATCGCGGAAATACACCTCGGCATTATCGATGTTTTGAGTCAACCCCCCTCCGTGGTGGGCGTAGCTCAGTGACTCAGTGACTCAATGACTCAGTGATCACGAGCCTGAATCAGGCATACTCAACTATAGCTCAACCTCCTTTTCAGCACCAGCGCTCTTCCTTCTCACTTTGCCAACTTACCAGCACAACCGGTCCCTCTGCCTCGCCCTACATACTGTCCAAGACTGCAGCCTTTCCGCAGGGCAGGCCGGGGCTGCTTGTGCTGCCAAGACACTAACAGTTTGTCGTCGTCATGCCGCTATTAAAACGGCCACGTGACGAATATGGCAACGGCGAAGGGGCCGCCGGAACTAGCGCGGACACGTCAAACCGAGCACTTCGCATTGAGGAGAGAGAGGACCAGCTAGTCATGGTCATCGGTTGCTCTTCAAATAGCCTGAAAATAATGCCGAACTCGAAGGACCCCTCTAACAATGCCACCACGGTGGCCCTCAAATGTGCTCGCAGCCTCATCCAGCAGAACCTCGTCTCGCCTCCGACCGTCACAGTTGAAACGACTCAACCGCCGTCGCCGTCGCTCGAAGCGGAGGGCTCAAGCGATGGTCATGTGCCCTTCGGCAAGGCGTTAACCAGCCGTTATCGTTCAAAGATGGGGCTTGTTTTATTCTGTGTTCCTTCTTATCGAAGTCTCGACACAGAAACTATCGACCCGGCCGGACAGGCCCAAAGTCGCTTTCTCCGACGTGCTCAAGCTATAATGACTGAGCCGCGTATCTGGTCAACTCATGAATCAATCGTAAAGCAACACGCGTTCCCTCTACTAGAGCGCTTGAAACAGAACGACGGAATTATCTGTATTCCACCAGGGGATGTGACTTCATCTTTGCTGAACGCAGTCGATGTCCTTCTCTCTAGCTCACTCTTAGCGGATCCTCCGTCCTGCGTAGTGGATGATCAGCCAGCTGTCCGAGCCGACTCCTCACACGGACTGAACACAAAACTGCATCGCGACTCGTCCGCCACGGAGGCATCGGCCACTGCATATTCAGAACAGCTCCCCAAATGCGTAGTGGAATTGGCACTGTCTATGTTCTCTGAATCACGCCATTGTAGCCCCTCACGAATTCGCCGCTTGATATTCGTGAGCGACCAAATCTGTCCGGCTGAGCTCAAACACCATACCCCGGAATGCGATGTACATACAGCTTTTTACGATGCAGTGAAGCAGCGTTTGGATACGCCCGTTGACGTCATTCATGTTTTGGGTCCACCGCTGCCGAGAAGCACATCGGCGCCTCACTATCACGAGCGGCTACCTGCTGCTCCATTGCGGCCGCATGTGCATTACCACGAGTTTCAGACGCTAGGCTCGATGAGTCTTGTTTTGATGAAGCATATGCGCTTCCGTTCTCCGGCATCAGCCGACGCTCCTCAGGGGCATCCGTGTGCAATTATTCGGCTCACATCAAGCGTGATGCTCTCTGTCCGAAAAGTATCGATACACCGAGATGGATTTTCTCATACCCGGTATGATACACGCACTAAAGTGGACCAACAGCTATATAATCCCGCGGTAGAAACTAACCATGGGTGCCCCTCTCTATTCCGGGTCAATGGACAAGTTGAATCATCGACCAAGAATGTGTGTATGGCCACTGGAGCAGCGGTGTCGCATGACCAGACCACCCTAACATACCCTTACGGCACAGACGGTGGCGACTCGGCCGGTAACCATGGTTTGCACGTTCCCCGCTGGTCATCAAAGGCCGGCCCGGTGCAGCTTCATGAGGCTCGTATCACATCGAGAGATCGTCTACACGGTCTTGAAAAACTTAGAGCGAACATTGGTATCGCTGCTAATTCTTATAACCGTTTGCGCGTCATGCTGAGAGAACCTTCTTGTGATGAATACCGTATTTTGAGCGTTCAACCGCTAGCTGATCTTCCTTGGGAAATTGTTGCTGGCTCCAGCGTGTCACTCATACCTACTGACCAACGCGTTAAAGGTAGCACCAGCCTATTTTCGCATTGGGCCCATCGCATGGCTTCTAAAAAGCTTTTTGCTCTTGCCATGTATGTCGGACCTCCATCCAATGAAAATGACGTCAAACACACGACTCCTCCACATGATACTGCCGGCGCGTTGGGAGATACCGGATTGCTACACAAGCTACATATGGTTGCGCTTATCCCCAGCAATGCGTGGCAAGCATCTACTTTCATTGATAGCGCAGTTACAGCACAGGATGGACAGAAGACCAATCCTTTGGAGGCGTCAGAACTCTGGGCCATGCACGCCGTTCGAATCTCATTTGCCGATGACATCCGAGATGCGAATACGCCATCACCCAGGGGCGTGTCTTCGACTGAAGTCGGTTTGGCTAAAAGGATCCTGCAAAAAATTGGGCTGTCCACGAATAAAGCCTGGCATCCCTACTTGACCTCAGATCCTGCTGTGCAATTGCACATCTTCAATTTGCAGTCTTTGGCTCTGGAAGGCCAGCGTTCGGAAGCAGACAGGTTTCAGCAGCTTTTCAGCCTGGTTGATAACACTGCCCTAGGACTTGACGCGATGCAGCATGACATCGTTAATGATATCACGCAGCTTGAACGGGCAGTGAAATGCAGGACAGGTCTTCCTTTGGAGGAACCGTCCGTCCATGTCTTCCCCAAACGAAGAATGGCGACGTCATGGGAGTCATCAGAATTGCCATCTACCAGGATCCCGTCGCTTGAGATGCTTGCAAATATGAAGGCGGCCGGCACACTGCCCCAACTGACGGTGCCCGTCATGCGAGCTGTTTTGTGTCGGCATTTCCACCATAGCATGCAGTCTATTCCTAAACGGCATCCAGAACTCGTAACAGCTGTTGAAACAGCAATAAGTTTCCTCAAATGAAATGCTTATTATTAATAGTATTGCGTGTGGGAAATCTTTGCCTCCAGTCGTCCCCGCGCTGTAAGGCCCCGATTATCTCGTGGTGCGGCCACGATGGGATCACCCATGACTTCCCTACACGGAAAGGGGAGGAGACACCCAGGTTTGCGAATCGCTACACGCGAACCTGTGTAGTATGAGAGTCGGCAGAACGCCTCACGCGCTGAAACCCCGCAACGCATCAGACGATCGTAAGTTCGGCGAGCATACCTTAAGGGTTTCGGCGCTCACTAAGAGCAAAAGTTCTGTAGATTGAAAACTATTATGGTTCCAGCGCGGATCGAACGCGCGACCTTCTCCGTGTAAAGGAGACATCATAACCACTAGACTATGGAACTTTCAGGAATGTTAGTGTTCTGGTACATAATTCGCTTTATATACCAGCAACATTGATCCTTGGCATCACTTGTGGGCAACCCTCGCCTGGAACGGCTCCTGGTTGTCCA